AAGGAGCCCTTCAGCACTGCTGGTGGGAATCGCAAACTGGTGCGGCCACTCTGGAAAACAGTACGGAGGTGCCTCAAAACATTAAAAAGAGAGCTACCCTACGACTGAGCAATTGCACTACTAGGTATTTATCCAAAGGATACAGGTGTGCTGTGTCAACGGGGCACTTGCACCCCAATGTTTATAGCAGCGCTATCTACAACAGCCGAAGTATGGAAAGAGCCCAAATGTCCATCGACAGATGCATGGATAAAGAAGATGTGGTATATATATACAATGGAGTCTTACTCGGCAATCAAATAGAACGAAATCTTGCCATTTGCAACAATGTGGATGGAACTGGCGTATATTAAGCTAAACCAAATGGGTCTGTCAGAGAAAGACAAATATCATAGGACTTCACTCATATGAGGACTTTAAGATACAAAACAGATGAACATAAGGGAAGGGAAGCAAAAAGAATATAAAAACAGGGAGGGGGACAAAACATAAGAGACTCTTAAACACAGAGAACAAACTGAGGGTTGCTGGAGGGGCTGTGGGTGGGGAGATGGGGTAAACGGGTAAGGGGCATTAGGATGACACCTGTTGGGATGAGCACTGGGTGTTATACACAGGGGATGAATCACTGCAATGTACTCAAAACATTATTGCACTATATGCTAATCAACTTGGATGTAAATTTAAAAATAATAATAATAATAACAATGCTACAACTTGTACGATAAACACTGATAATCATTTTTTTAAAAAACAAGAAGTAAGGTCTCAATATCAGCTCACCAACTGTAACAAATGTACCACATCAATGCAGGACATTAATAATGGGAAACAGGACAATAAGGGGATCTGTGTGAACCCTCCATACGGTTCACTCATTTTTTTCCCCGTAAACTCAAAACTGTATTTACAAAACATCAGGGGCGCCTGAGTGGCTCAGTTAGTTGAGCGTCTGCCTCTTGATTTCGGCTCAGGTCAGGATTCCAGGGTTGTGGGACCAAGTTGAGATCTACCCTGCACGTGGAACTTGAGACTCTCCCTCCTCCCCTCTCCCCTGCTCTCTCTCTCACTAAAATAAAAATGAAAAATAAATAATTATTTTTTAAAAGAACCCAATGAATACCATACTGTTTAAAAAAAAAAAAAAGTCAAATGCTACTAATGCAATGGAAAAAAATTTTTAATTTTCTTCTACAGAAGAAAAAAAAAAGCACTACACCCCAATCTTCATCAATGGGAAAGAATCTTTTGATACTGCCCTTATGATTAAGATTAAATCTGTAAAACGTGTCAGACCCTTCAAATGTTTGGGGGCCAATTAACAATTCGATGTCATCCCTGATTCGCGGGGAATGCGCGTATTGTTCGTGCCTTCAGTGCATGATCGTCGTCTCCATCCCCACCTCGGGGCCCACGTGGGACACAGCCTGTTGCAGAAGGCCAAGGTAGAGAAACACTAGCTCCTGGATCCTTTGAACATGCGCATCTATTTCTTTGTTCGTCTCCACAGGGTTCCCGGGAGAGGGCCCTCTCCCTGTTTGGCTCTGTAAATGCCCCTCGCAGACTGCACGTGAGCAGGATGAATCCCGAGTGATTCAGACAATGACTCAAATAAACGAATAAACGTCGGGACCGTACAAAGGACAGTGAGAGCAAAGAGCAGGCACAGTTGGGATTTCTCTTTGCGGCAATCCTGGAGGGCCTCATAGGGAGGAGGCTAGTGGAGAGCTGAAAGGAAAAAGTAGGGACCTGGCAGGCATCAGGCAGTCCTTCCTGGAAGGGAGTCATCCTGATAGAAGGGCCAGAAAGGAAGAGACCTCTCTGAGCTTTAGAGCTGGGAAGTAATTCCGAGGAAAGTGAGTTAAGGTCACAGTTATTTAGGACACACAGCTCCCGGGCACCCACTCAGGGTGAGATCCTGGGACCTCCTAGGAGCCCATGAAAACAGCACAGTGCACCTTGATGCTCAGGCTTCACCCAAGTAAGGCTACTGACAGAAGAAGGTGAACACAGATCCCTCACCCCCAACCCCCTGCCATCCAGGGACAGGGAGCTTGGCCAGAAACAGCCAGCCCGAAGGTGAAGTATCTCTGATGTCAAACGCCCAGGCTAGGCCTTATTATTAATAATTTTAAAATTAAAACAGTGCTTCTCCCTCACCTCAAGTGATACTGTCCCCGAAATGTCTTCCAGTAGAATTGATGTTCCAGATTGCATCAACCCCCGGTTTATGTAATAATGGCAGCAGTGGGCAATATCTATTATCATCACTCACATAACTCTTGCTGCAATGCTGTGGGGTGCTGTCCATGCCCCCGTTTTACAGACGCAGCCCAGCACGCCGCAGGGGGCTGCCCCCACACAGGCAGAGGAGCACCGACAGTGACTTCCTTCTCCCAAGTCACAGATCTCGTCTGCAGTCTCATTCCCACAGACAACTGCAGCGTGTACGTGAAATCAGGCTCTGCAGTCAGTGGCTGCAGGACTGGGGACTGGCAGTACTTCCCACACTCCTCCCTCTGTCGTATAAAGCGGGGCAGTAACGCTTTCCTCAACAGGTTTTGTCCAGATTGAACTCTGACAACAGAGTCAAAACTCCAAGCACAGCGCCTGGCACATATCCTCAAGGGGGAAACCGAGCTGGTCTCTGAGCTCCGTGAACTCCTCCGCACTGGAAGGAAGACACGGGAGAGTTAAACACAACAGCTGACCCAGACGACCGCAGGCTCCGCTGATGAATGAAATCCCGGCCGGGGGCTGTCAGCCAGGCTGCCCGGGGCCAAGCAGTAGGGCAGGACAATGCCTGCTTCCTTCTCCCGCAGGAACTCGGAGCTCTGGCCTGGAGAGGACCTTCCTTCAGCCGTCCCCACCCGTTTCCTCCAGAACATTCCATGCTCAGCCAGAAAACACCAAGAAGTGGTCACTGGGGACCAGCTGGCGGAGGAGGGCAGAACCCCCCTTCCAGGCCTGTGCGCACGACCTCTGCCCTGCACCTCTGTCTGGCCCCCGCTGCCTCCCCACACAGGGACCAAGCCTTGCTTTGTCCACCCCAGGCTGCTGGCCAGAGCCAGCGGGAGACAACCTGGGAAGCTAGCCCTGGGCCTGCCTTGGCCTCTTACACTCTCTTTCCTTAGGTCCCTGACTGGTCACCCTACCTCTAGTCCTGGTTCCCACAACACGCGAGTCTCTTCAAGGGCAGGCATGAACCACTCACTCGCTCCCCTCCTCAAGCACCTTCAATGTCTCCCACTCTACCCTGAACAAGTTCAGAGGCTGCACTCTGGGATTCACTGTCTTCTCTGGTATAATCCAAACCCATGCTCCAGTCCCCACAGGACCCATACGGAAATGAATTATACCAGGATTCGCACATACATTTCTGGATCCGAGTACAGAGTCACCGTAGCTGGATCCTAGGTGGAACCTATTCCTCCCCCCACCTGACTCTCTCATGAGCCCTTTCCTTTCCTGGTCTCTGAATCCTTCTAGCAGGCTGTTCCCAAACCACAGGATCCCGCAACACCTGCCTTCCCCACATGGTCCCCGCACTATTCTTAATATTTTCCTTCAAACCAGCTCACTCTTCCACTTACATTTATTCTCAAAGGAACCTGTGTATCTCCACCATAAACAGAAAACCATATCGTTTGCCATAAACAGAAGGCAACTGAAGAAAACAGTTATATTCTAACAGTCATGAAAAAAATCATTAAGTGTTTTAAATGCTCATCTATGTTGTAAAAACTCCCTTGGGCCAAAAGGTGAGGGGCTTGCAAGTGAAGAAATACCAACCATTGTTTGATCTCAAATTCTATTCTGGTAAAAGGTCAGGGGTTGAGCAGCTTAGCTCCTCCCGCTGCAGCAAGCCCCTGATTTGTCCTTGGTGATTCTTCTTTGGAAAAGGTGGTCTAACAGTATAACCCACTTTTTGCCTTTTTTTTTTTTTTTTTTTTAAATTTTAGAGAGAGAGTGAGTGAGAGCAAGTGGAAGAGGGGGCTGAGGGAGAGACAGAATTTTCAGTTTAATTTTGAGAGAGAGAGAGAGAGAGAGCAGGGAGAGGGGCAGAGAGCGAGGGAGACAGAATCTAAAGCAGGCTCCAGGCTTTAAGCTGTCAGCACAGAGCCTGATGTGGAGCTGAACTCATGACCCGTGAGTTCATGACCTGAGCTGAAGTCAGACACTCAACCCAACCGACTGAGCCACCGGGGTGCCCCAGAAAGAGAGAGAATCTTAAGCAGGCTCTACAAGGAGCATTGCTCAGCCCCCAATGTGCGGCTCGATCCCATGACTCTGGGATCATGACCTGAGCCAAAACCAAGACACTCAACCGACTGAGCCACCCAGGCGCCCCTCGTCTGTGTAACAAACTTAATAGTACTGTCTACTAGAAAGTCCTCTCACACCCTAAGAAACTCTGCCTCGGCACTTTATTTCTGCCCCTCGCGGCCCTTGGTTTTGCTGGCCTATCACACAGCTACCTGGGGACTTATTTTAGGCTTGTCCTGGTTGACCCCAAATGTGAGCACTTTGGGGACACAGATCCTGCCACCTTTCTCCTGGTGGCTATACCCACCATGATGGGCAATAAAAATATTTATCAAACCAAATGTTCCAATTAGCTCGGTTGTATGAACGTGGCCCCATTCTCCACCTGGTCCTTGGCTGCGGCTGCCCAGCTTTCTACCAAAACACACATCCTCCCCGCCTACCATCCCCTAATCAGTCCCTGGGCACCGGGTCTCTAGGACGATGGCACAGACGGCGGCAATGGTCAGATCAGCACTGGGCGAGGACCCCTGGAGCAGCAGGACGCGGGCAAGCAAACCCGGAAAGGCAAGTCTCCGGTTAACCATTAAGCCGCACTCTCCCGGGCCAGACACACCCCTGCCCTGGGACTTAGCAGGGCTCTGGGAAACCCCCCACATGAGCTGAGCGCCTGGCTCCAGGAAACACAAGTCGTCTTCCTGTCCCTTCAGAGCCAGAGACCCCAAAACACCTACCAGGAAAGGAGGGGGGCTTCGCCGGGCCTGGCCCTGCTGGCGCCCCAGACAGGAGGAAGTCACGCTCCCTCCAGCCACGTGTTGTCAGGGGCGACCCAGGAAGATCTGAATCACTCAGACTTAAGGCAGTAAGTGGCAGCTGCCGGGAGGCCCCAGCTGCAGCCAAACCAAGGCCTGGATTCTCCCGGGCGGATGGAAGGCTGGACAAAGCCAGCCCAGGGCCAGTCTGCTGGTGACCAATTTCCTTGATGACCGATTTCCTTGACGACACAGTCTCTTCTAAAACCGAACAGACTCAGGACACTTCCTGTTGGAGGGAGGCCTCCTTTGGGAATATCTGTGATCTTTTTGGTATTACGTTTGTAGTCTGGTCACTTTTATGAATTTTGAGGATTTTTGGTTGTTGTTGCCAGAAAGGGCACACTTCATGGAGAGGTATCCAAAATGTCCCTCCTAGGCCGTGGTCATGCAGGAGACATGAGCACCTCATAACCTGGGGTGTGGTTCCCCAAGAAGAAGGCAAACTGAGGAACAGAGAACATAACCATTGCTATAAATGGAATGGCCCCCCAAATGTAGCCTGAGGGGGACAAGGACAAGGAAGAGAGCCCCTACGTAGCTGGGGGCCATTACACACCGACATCTGGCCGCAGTGAGAGAAGGAAGATGAGGAGGATGTCCTTTTTGATCTTTTCGTAGTGCAAACAAGTTAATAACAGAAAAACTGTCGTGGTGAGAAGAAAAGCACCACAGCTAGCAACCTATTGCTCACGGGGAGCAGACGCAGATGCCACTGATAAGGGATGGAGGGACATAATCATGAAGAGGTTCTCAAACTGGGTTCCAAGGAGCCCTGGGGTGTCACATACCTCTCCAGGGCTGCTGATGCAGGATGGGGGGGATACAGAGAGTGTGCTCCAACCCAACCCAGAGCAACACGGCTCTTGGTCTGCTTCATAGATTGGACTTTGAGAGAAGGTTTCATTTCAAAAAAAGAACAGCTGGGGCACCTGGGTGGCTCAGTCGGTTGAGCGTCTGACTTCAGCTTGGGTCATGATCGCGCGTTTGTGGGTTTGAGCCCCGTGTCAGGCTCTGTGCCGACAGCTCAGATTCTGTGTCTCCCTTTCCTTCTGCCCCTCCCCTGCTCGTGCTCTCTCTCTGTCTCTCAGAAAATAAAATAAAACGTTAGGAAAAAAACAGGAAAGAACGGCTAACAGTTGAAAAAGGCGGATGTGTGATGCCGGTGATATCAAACAGAAGAGTATGACGTAAGCTGTCTCTGAGTTTGTGAGGACTGGCTGCCACATACCAGGTGCGCCGGGAACCAGCCCGCCCTACACCCTGAGCGTGGGCTCGTCGTTCAGGGAAAGCGGAGGGGGGCCTTGGACCCGGCCACTTTGCCCCTCCCCTGGCAGGATCTCAGGCTGCAGGAAGTGCAGGTGACACCAATATCGAGCCACACCCAGAGGTGAGTCAAGATCCAGAAAGGAGATTCGAACCTCAACAGGCACAGGGTCAAATGCAGAGCTAGATCTGTGAGTCCTGGGATGGGAATTCCAGGACCAGAGGCCAAAGAGCCACGAGAAGCGGTGTTCTTAACCGTAGCCGATCTTGGGCAAAGACCGGGGACAAGCGCAGTGGCCAGGAGTTGGCTTCCGCAGGCTCCCAGCAGCTTGCTGCAGGCATGAGCCGGCTTGGATGAACCAGCCCTGAGGATGTGAAGATGTCTGAGTGGGCGTAATCCTCCCAAGGGCAACAGGCACGTGATCATGTGGCTTTGCAGTTGTGCCCTTGACTCTAGACAGTTGTGTGCCCGTGTGCAAGGGCAGAGGCTGGCCTGAGCAGACGTGCTGCTTGCCCAGCATTCCTGTCTTTGAGAATGAGTCCTCCTCCAGCCCCAGGAAATCATGCCCAGTCTTTCTCACAACGACGATGGGGGAGGTAACAGGGGACAGGACACAGCCCCACCTTCCCCTTCCTCGGGGTGAACGTGACTGGTGTCGACCAATTAGAATATCCTCCCCTCCCCAGGCACGGCGACCCCGACTCAGGACTGAGCGTGGGACCCAGCCCCAGCCATTCCAGGGTCCTCTGCCAGGGCTCTCACTGGAGTTACTAAGAAACACACTCTTTCCTGTGTGAGTAAGCTGTGAGGACAACGTTGGCTCAGGATGGCCGGTGGCCATGTCACTACTGCTTAGAAACAGCCTGAGAATGAAACCAAGCCGAGCTGAGAAATGGATCTAAATGACCCAGATGGTCACTGGATCCAGCCATGCCTGAATCACCATTTTGATGCCCAGGCTGCCAGGGCCATAGAGCCTCCTTTCTGTGTAAGGTAGTTTAAGTTGGGTCTTTGTCGGTTGTAATCAAGAGCCCTGAGTAAGGCACCTCTCAGGGAATGGGAAGGAACAGAAACACATAGACCGATTTGAGTGAACTTGACACATTGACTGAAACGCCCTGGAAATGAGCTTCCTGCTCCAGAGCTCAGCTGCCCCTGCGGAGGTCCCTACCAGCAGCAGTCCGGCCTGGAGGCGCCCTTTGAAGTGCCCCGCAAGCATTCCCGGGCCTGCGCTGGCCCCTCTGCGGTCCCCAGGCCCAGAGGACACCCCTCTGTGGCCCCCGGATGGTACGGCAACCTCCCTGGGGTCACTGGGAACTTACCCAGACCGCTGCAGGAGGCTCACCACTTTTGTGCCCCAAGGACACAGGAAGCTGGCCCAGGTCCTCCCAGACCCTGGTTCATTCGCCAGGATCCACATTTGGGCGCCAGCTCCACCACGAACCACCCAGGTCTGCCGGTCTTCTGGACTAGTGCAACCAGGGGGACATGGCTAGGAAGCCATGCATGCTGACTCAGGAACTTTCCACGCAAACTGGGGAGCGTGTGCATCCTCTGGCGTCTCTGAACCCGGCATCTTCCTGTGATACAGGAATCACAGGCAGAAAGGCCCACTGCTGCTGCACCCCCTCACTCTCCAGTCCAAACCGCACCGAATGGGTTCAAATGTGAAAGTAGGCACCCAATTGTTTCATGAGTCCGTATACAAGATTTGCAAGGAGGAGGCCAAAAGGGATAAACGGGATGACTCATTCATGACAGACGGTAATTTGACAGTTGATATACACAGGATATAAAAGTTCCCTATGTACGTGGCTAAAAACCACCTAAAAAAGCTGAAGAGGAGGGAAATTAGGAAAATAAATCTGTTTCTGGAAACTAAAAGCATTAAAAAAAAAAAGCTATGTTCAAGAAAACATGCTACAAATACGATCAATACAGATTCTATTTGAAAACTGGAAAAGTGTCATGCGGTGACCTAGCTGCACAAAGCCCATCTGGAGAGCTTGGCCAGGCCAGCGGGGGTGGGGGGGGGGGTCTTAGGCCCCCCCAACCTGCCAGAGGGTGGTCCCCAAGGGTTGACAGGCACAGGGGAGGCAGGATGTGAACCGAGACTGAGGAGTAAAGGCTGTGCGGCGTCCCTGGTACTGCCTTCCCCACTCTGGGAGCCAACTTGGGTCTGATTTCCCCAGATCTCCTCCCACCTGCCCTGCCTGCCTGAGGTCCCTCCCACCCCATCCCTGCTCCAACCACAGATCTGCTGCCACCCCCTCTGCAGCCCCAGGAAGCCTGTGGGCACAGCTCTGACAGCCGGCTCCCCGGCTCCCAGCCACTGTCCTAACCGCGCGCCAAAGTAACTCTGGCCCCTTCTCGCCTCCAGCTCTGCCTGCCTCGCTGCCTCGGCTCCGGCTGCCCCCAGGGCCCCAGGTGTCCCTCCCACATCCTTGCAGACCCAGGGAATGACATGACACCGGGGAGCCTTCCTTGATCTCCCTGTCCCTCTGGAAGCAGCCTCTCCTCCCCTAAGGGCCCTTAGCCCCCCACTGTCCCCTCCCCTCAGGGCTGAGCACCTGCCCCCTGATGTTATTCGTTCACGTCTTTACCATGGGGCAGGCTGCCTCCGCTTTGTCTGGTGCCCTCTTTGTCTTTCGTCCAGTCATTCCACAGGCACGTACCACGCGCCTTCTACGTGCCGCACCTGTGCCGGGACTGGGGCCGATCCAGACAGACACCGGAACTCGCGCCCTGGAGGGCAACAAGGCCACCAAACAAATCGACACAAATGAACACCTCAGTCCAAGCTGTGACAGGGGCCACGAGAGAAAGGTGCAGGGCGGCACGGTGTGTGCGCTCCGGGCTGGAGGAGTCGAGGAAGGCGTCTCTGAGGAAGTGACCGGCACTGGAGGAGAGCGGGCAGTGGGCCAGGCACCCTTTCTAGGCACACAGTAATAGGTGTTTGCTAAATGTCTGAGGAACACGAGGGACTGTGGCATGTCAGAAATTCCCAGTGTGGCCGTGTCCTTCCGGACACATCTGTGTCCTGTTATCATCCCGACGGGTCACTCCAGCTGGCACCGAGCTACGCTATCTCCGCCAGACACAGGACAGGGCCCCCTGTGTGACATCTGCAGAAGTGCCTGTCAAGACAACCAGCTCCCCGCTCGGGGCTCCGTCCTGACTGCCGACCCCGCCATCACCCCTGGGGCTCATGGCCAGTGGGTCTTGTCTGGCACACCGACTCCAGATCACTGGTCACGCCTGCCCGGAGCACATGCCAGAAGGACAACAAAGGGCCGTGACTGATTAGTGACGTCTGCCCCAGGAGTGGAGCAGACAGCAGCGGCACACGTGTCCCATATTTTCCTTGCCACCCCGGGTCCCATAGATGACCACCCAGGCAAGAGATTTCCTTCAGATCCAATTGCCTGGAAAAGCACTGGGCGTCTGGTATCCTTTTCTGTATAGATCCCATGAACCGTGCAAATAATATTGTTTTCCCGCTTCGACTGCTCATTAGTTCAGGGCGAAATTTGTGGTTCAAATGTAGCAAACCGTGCACAGCTCAATGGCCTGCGTATGTAGTCCAACTCTCTCCCTCGTTTTGACCTTCTAGTTAATCCACATTTTTCCCTGATCTCATATTTATGGGTTTTTATTTAATTACATACACATATACACAAATGTGTATCTACAAATATATATATAAAACATCCACATATAGGTTGGGCACATAGTATCTAACTTATGC